CCATGGAGCCATTAAACAGCTATCCAGGTTGGGGCAAAAGTATCCCAAGAATAACCTAGCTGTGTTTCCTTAAAGCAGGCAGAATCATAGAGACGCCCCTTCACTTCCAGCCCGCGATCGGGATGCCAAACCACAACAAACATCCAATGTCCTACTGCTGCTTTCTAGCAACAAGGAGCAAATCTTGCTTTGGAGGAAAGGCTTTTGATAAACCCAGCCAGACTGATTTTTTACTCAATGCAAAAAAGGAAGAAATACAAACAAACAAAAAGCACCTCTGTACAAAAAGTACAAAATCCAAGCCACACCAACGCAGTCAGGTGCTGCGTGAGTGTTTACTGCAGCCGCCGGAACGCAGAGAAAACCACCAGCCCGTCACTGCCCGATCGCTCGGAAACCTGCTGCAGCCTTCAGGGGGCAGGGAGGCGTGAGAATCGCAGAGCAGGAGGCCATTCCGACAACGCTGGGATTTTCCAAGCCTTCAGCACGGAAAACTGCCAGGGCCGCTGCCCCCGATGGGAACGAGAGACGGCGCTCAGCAGCAGCGGTCCTGCAGGGCCTGAGGCAGACGCTCTCTGGGAAGGCTGGTATTATCTCCCCTGTCCGGACTGGAAGAGCCTCCAGGAAGCACCAGCACTTCATCCCAGCGCCGCAGGGTCTCCTCCAACAGAGAGGAGAGACCGAGGGGTGCAGCAAGCAGCCCCCTCCCCCTCTCCCTCTCTCCCGTGCAGAGAGCACACAGAGCCATGGCCACACACAGCTCCCGGGTCCTGCAGGGACAGGCAGCCCACTGAACCCCTCCAGACCCCGGCGCGCACACGGCACCGTGCCACAGACACACTGCGCAGCCCCACGGTGCAATACACGCACCACACCGCACAACACACAACGCAAGACACGACGCGCGCCACACCGCACACAACACGCAAGACACGCCACACGCCACACCGCACAGCGCCACAGCCAGCCATTTCAGAAACCAAGACACGCATCTCTGGGAAACTGCTCACGCCTCACCCCTGCTCCCAGTTTCTCCACAATACCTGCTGTCGGACCCCTCGAGCGCGGTGGAGCCCGGACTCCCTCTACGTTCCAGTTTTCTCCAGCCGGCGAGCACGCATCCTCCCTCCCTCACAGAGGGCGTCACGCAGGTCCCAGCGCTGCCTAGAGCGTCTGGCGGGAACGACCCTGGACTCAACACAGCTGCAGCTGACCACTTCGCCCACTGCAAAGAACAGGCACCAGGGGTCTGGCCTCCCAGCCCCCAACTCCGCTGGGTTTGATCTGCCTCCGAGCCCCACTGCCTGCCTGCCTGCCTGCCTGCCTCTCCGCGCCCCCTCCCCCTCCCCTCTTCACTGCAGACGCACTGCGCCCAATCACAGGCACCGGCGCTCAGCCCTGAGCTCTTTCTCATGCAAACACACCGAGACGGGCTGGGGGAGAAAGGACAGTGCAGAAACTTCCTCCTCCTGCTTGCAAAACCCCACACAGCACGACGGGGAAGTGAGAGAGCAGAGAGCGAGGACCGGCGGCCTCCCCCTGTTTCTGCCTGAGCCCGGGAGCCCAGCACTGCAGAAACCGCACAGGAAAGCTTAGGGGCAGTACACGGCAAGCAGGCCAAACACGGGCTCTGCACCACAGCGAGAGGGCTTTGCACATGACACACGCCGACACACAACACGCACACTCCCCCGCCGCCTCTCCCTCGCAGGCCTGCCATCTCTGTCCTGAGCCGGCCCGGACTCTTCCTCTCCCCTCCCTCCCTCCCTCCCTCCCTCCCTCCCTCTCTCCCTGGAGCTGCGCCAGTCCCTGCGAGTCAGTCCGTGGGTCCGTCGGGGTCAGTCGGCGGGCAGTGCCGTGCCGTCCAGCGGTAGTTACCTGAATCGTGTCCGGTGGCTGGGAGCAGCGTTGGCCTCGCTGCGGCCGCCGCCGCCCCCCCCCTCGCCGCCGCCCCCCCCCGGCGCTCCGCGCTCCCCTGCCTGGCTCGAGCCGCCGCCCGGCCGCAGCCTGCGGGCATGGACCTTAACTCTGCGGAGGTTGTAGCAAGAAGGAGGACTATGTAAAGACCTGCAGCATCTCACCATTTCCCTGTACTCCACGGCGCTTTCCGCAGGTAGCCCTGGCACATGATCGCGCGATTAAAAGAGCTGAGCCCTCTCTCTCTCTCTCCTGCTGGCCTTCAGCCTCCGGCACGGGCGGATGTGACGCCGTCCAGGATAATCCTGCCTCCTCCCCTCCTCCTCCTCCTCCTCCTCCTCCGCGCGAGGCTCTGCTGATGTCCCTGCTCGCCGGCGGGTCTCAGCCGCCGCAGCAGCGCTGATGCTCTCCTGCCTCTTCTCTCTCTCTCTCGCTCGCTCGCTCTCGCGCGCACAGCGGCCGGGTGCGTGGGGGAGGGGGGCCCTGCTGGCTTTGTGGGAAAACACAGCCCCGTGAGAACCGAGCGCCGCTGCAGACGGGCCGAAAACCGGCCTCCCCGGGCCGACCCGGCGTGGAGGCTGCCTCGCCGGACAGCCTCAGCCCTGCGGTGTTGAATTTGAAAGGTGCACGGCTCCGATAAAGACACCCACCCCCCGGAACCAAGACAGGCGAGCTCTGGGATTAGGGAGGAAAAGCCGGATTCTGGGAGAGCGGGCAGCACAGGCTGGAAGCCTGCTGTCTGAAGACAGGGGCGCTGATCGTCACTGTCTGGGTGCACAGGCCCGATGTCTCAGAGAGCAACAGAGGCCTGATGCTCAGATGACACAAGCGCGACAGCACTGCCTGGTCCCGCCTGCAGCCAGCCTCCTGAAGGGCCTGACTCAGACACTCCCGCCATGAGTGCTGCATGCCAAAGCCCATATCTCGATTTTTCATCCCAAAATAGCAGGGCTTCGAAGTAAAAAAAAAAATCTAACACTGTTATTTCTCCTTGTGTTTAATAATAAAAGATTATCATCATCATCATCATCATCTCCAGTGATAAAGGTGTAATTAAGCAAGCCACAAAAGCCTAACAGCTCTTGGACTGAAGACGCAACTGGCTTTACAAGTTTGAACTCATTTAAGATTTTCCCTGTTGCAACACCCAAGAAATCTTCACGGCTGTAAACATCTGAAGACAATCACTAAAATATTCAGATGGTAAATGTTTCCAGAATGCTTCTCAAAGTAGAAGCAGTGTCTACAGTCCAGTCAGGTGTCTAAGTGTGTGTGAATTCAGGGGGACTGTGAGAGGACAGGGACAGCAGTGTCTCTAGCAGTGTCTCCAGTC